GATCGTTAAATGAAGTGCGTTCATCGTTTGATTCGAGTGCGGGAGGTGGCGTATCGTAACTGCGACGCCAAATTAATACTTGATCCTCGCCATATTTTTCCACCGTATCGGTTTTGTTTAACCCTGCTAATGCACCGTAATGACGTTCGTTCAAACGCCATGCATGAACGGTTGGAATCCACATCAAATCCATTGCATCTTGGACATACCAGAGTGTCCGAATGGCTCGCTTTAAAACGGAGGTATAGGCAATATCAAAACAAAACCCATGATCAAGTAAGGTTTGACCGGCTTGTTGGGCTTGAAGCACTCCGACTGGGGTTAAATCCACATCAACCCACCCAGTAAAGCGATTTTCTAGATTCCATGTTGATTCGCCGTGTCGAATCAAAACCAATTTGTACATTTTTACTCCTAAAATAACCTTTTGTTCAGAAAGCATTATATAATTTAACCTGTTTATGTGCTGTAAGAGACACGAAAACAGGTCAGGTGCAAGCCATCTGGGCAGCATTTTTTTACCAATACTTTTGAATTTATATGGCTTTTTTTGCAGATTTCACTAACTTGTTTTTGCTACTGATGATAGTGGTTTCTGGGTATTTATTATTTGCGCCGATGCTCAAGAATGCAGATGCTCATAAAATCAGTACCTTAGAAACAACGCAGTTGATTAACCGCAATCAAGCTTATGTTTGGGACGTTCGTCCCAGTGATGCGTTTGCACAAGGCTCTTTGATGCGCGCCAAAAATATTCCGCTTGATAAAATTGCCGATAATGCTAGCAAAGCGAATCTTAAAAAAGATAAGCCGTTGATTTTATTGAGTCAAGATGGTGCTCGTTTGGTGCCCGTTGTGAAACAACTTCAGCCATCTGCGAGTTTGTTGGTAATCGTAGCGGTTAAGACAATTTCGTAAATTTCTTCTTGTAAGCGCGTTGCGTCGATATCGATACTAATCTCTACTTCGGCTTGTTCACGCTCCAAAAAAATCTGTGGTGCATGAGGAATTTCTAACGATAAATCTTTAAGATAAATGCGTTGAATATTAAAAGAAGGTTCATTATTTTGATTGTTTTGATCATTTTCACTCATATTAATTCCAGTTCCATCCAATAAAAGAAAATTTAAG